CAATTTATTCCCTGTTTGTGACGTATTTAGTATGCAGATTAATGGTAAATAATCTTTATTAAAGTGGACAATATGCTGTTTAGTTTAATCCACATCCGCTGACTTTTGGAGCTTAGCACACTTAAAGTATTCCCAACAAGTTTTTAATTTTTATTTTTTTATTTTATTTTGGAGATTTAGATACATAATAGTAACCCTCAATTCTTCCTTATTTTAGTATTTATTAAAGAGGATAATATATAGTTTAGTTTAATCAATTATAGGTTGATTAGTATATGTACAGGACATAGTCCTATAAGTAGGAAATGGTCACAAAGTTGCAATATTCATATACAAGAGTAGTGGTTGAAGTTGTCGGAACATCGATACACTCGCATCATTGCGCGGTGTTTGGGATGGTGCGCTGCTTCGTGATTTTCACCGATATTCTGCATATTGCTTCGTTACTAAATAATATTGGTTGCTACTTCGCACGGCGCTTTGTTACTCCGCAAAGATGGTCATTTTCAGCGAGGTGCTTCGTTACCCTATAGCTTATGTTGGGATTTCACAGCGTATGTCGTGATTCAGCAATGGACTTCATTGTAAGGAGCAGAGGGCGGCTAACGACGATCGAGGGAGGCTGGCGAATAGTGGTTAACGGTGGTCGGTGAGTCGCGGTTGACAGTGGTCGACTGGGGCAGGAGCGGGAGGTGTTAACCGAATCTTCGACATAGAAAACTAGACATCAACTCATTTTCTTCTCGATTCTCTTCTAGGTTTAGGTTTTAGTCTTTTTTCATGAATGTGGTACGACTCTATTTATAAATTCCAGGAAAGAATTGTCGATAAATAAGAAAAAATACAAACAAATCACTCCATCAGACAACTCATAGGGTTCTCTTGATTTGGTTACGTTCTGCACATCATTGAGCAGCTTGATGGTGTCAGAATTAAATGATGTTGGGCTTGTTTGATTTGTCTCATTGAGACAGTTAATTTAACTATAAGTTTGTTATATTTAAAATTCATTTCAATTAATAACAAAACCACTTTAAAAAAAAGATTTATCGATTAAATTTTTACTTGATTTGATTTGAATTAGATCAACTTTGGGGTCATTACGTTTTTAATTGAAATTTGAATGTTTCTTGTCCAAAAATTATCTTGAGATTTATATCGCACATCAAAATTAATGTTGGATGATAAAAATTTATTCGCGGCATATCAATTATTGTTAATGATGCCTCATTGAAGTCACACTTTTTTTTTTCCTCTTAGGCATTAGTGCATTACTTTTAAAGGAAGAAACACTATACTACTTTTCACTTATTCATCCTGCACTGCTTCTGATTAATTTCGTATCAGCACTGACAGGAGAAAAAAAAAAAATCTTCCTAGCAGTATGTAAGGATATTTTAAAATTTGGAAGGTTTGCATACATACCACTCAATTCTCATATATTTAAATATCTAACACCTAAACTCTAATTTATTACATGCATGCCATCTGACCAATGACCTATTCCTGAAAAATATTTATTTAACTTTCTAAAAGTTAAAAAAAAAATATGTGATAACAAAAGCTTGGGGTGGTATAAATGTAAAAGGCGAGTTACATGTGCCTCTGCTCATTGAACAGTTTCATCTTCTTTACACCTATGTCACTCACTCTCTTCCTGCATGTGTGTACCCACTATACAATCAATCATTCATGATTCCTTTATTCCCCTTCTCCTTCACCGCACAACACTTCTTACAATCAACTAACCTCACAACGTTCTTTAGTAAAAAAGGCAATTTAGGGTTAAAAAGCTTGCCTTGCTGTTCGCTCATCTCCAATGCTAAAGATTTCTGTATTTCAAGCTACTAAACAATAGACTGGGAAAATCTTCATACATTCCACTCAATTTATATGTTTTACAAATCTAATGTGTGCTACAAAATTTAGTAGAAATGATACTCTATTATCTTAGAATTGCAATAAGATCCGACATACACATATTATAGAAAATAGCAGAAGGAGATGCTAAGATTGTTTATATGAAAAAACTCGAGAGTTAAAAAATCACGGGGTCTAGTCCGGTCAATATAATTCAATATATGTGTGTAAATATAAGGGTAAACTATTTTCTCATGACCAAGAGAATGTGATTCTTGTTTTATTCCATATGGAACACTTGTCGAAATACAACTGTTAGAAACAATCTCTGTATTCTGACTACAACAACCGTAAGTAATGGTCATCGCTGGTTGGCGGTTGGCAGTGGGAGATGTTGATGATGGTCGATAGCCACATAGATCAAAAGTTATTGATAGATCTTCAATACCGGTGTAACAGGTTACAACTATATTTGTGATATGTCATCTATAAGCAGTGGGATGACCGACGGTGCTCGATGGTGGCCAACAGACAGTGTTTTGTGGTGATCTCGACAGCTATGGAGATAAGAAGTTATCACAACGTCTTTAGTTCATCTTTCATAACGGGTTGTGAAATTCTTTTTCTTCTCTTCCTTTTTTCATTTGAAAACATGAGGTCTATTTATAACCTCCGGGGGAGGGGCATTTATATATCTTGGCGAATAACTTCCCTATCAACTTAATCAGTGATTGTAGGTGATCTTTGAAAAACTTAGATGTCTTAATGATATCATAATTGAACGCGGTTAGAATCGTTGGATTCTTCTTGTTGGAATATTTGATTTGATTATAACATGACAAATTTGAAGTTTATTTGACCATTCAATTGATGATTGAAAGTCTTTAATTGTGCTTCAATAGCTTGATTTGTGTTTAATTTGAGCTAAATTGAACAAATTTTGGCATCATTGTGTTCTTTTTATTGAGATACTCAACTAGATTACAAACTTGTTGAATGGGGCCTTGATGATCTTGATTTGAATTTAGAACATTTATTATAAATGTGCATCAAGAGTCGTGCTAGAAGATAAGAAGTTATTGATTACTAACACTTAAAACTTCAATTTTTACATACAGTTATATATATATATA